CCCAGGTTTAGTTGACTTATTTTCTTAGTTTCTAAAAATTAAAAATGTGTCATTTAATATATCTTTTTACAATCATAAGGCTTCTTATAGGTTCCATTTAGTATAACTGTAGTTTTTTGTTTGATTTTTATAAACTTTCTAACTTTAAACCAAAAATTTATTTAGTTTTATGTATTTTTACAACATATTATTATAATTATTAGAGCAATTCAAACAAAAAAGGTTTTTGTGCAAAATTATTAATTTCTCTAGTTTAGTTAGGTTTGTAGTTGTGCAAAATTAAACTAAGTTAACAATAAGTTTCATGTATTTCAATTTAGACTATATATTAAAAGTATAATACTAACACTAAAATTATTAAGTTACTGTTAATAAATATAAAAAAAATTATTAAAGGTATTTTAATAATTTTAGTGTAAAAACTACATTTTTAATGTGCAATCCAAGTTAGAAAAAGGTCAAACTAACACTTTTTTTAACTAATAATTCTCCCTCTTCTAAAAAAGTCTTCTGATTTTTTTTAGACTGTTTAGATTCTGAAATGTTGAAAGCTAAAATTTCAGACAACATTTAAAGGGTTTGAAAGATTCTATATTTGAGCCAATCTTCTATAGATAGATAACAAATCAAGAATTATCTTGAAAGCATCTGTACTCGAATCTCTCCGAAATTACTTTTGTCCAATAATTCCAATAGGGCATAGATGCTACCTTGAAAACTAATAGACTAATTTATTATATTTTTTGCCATATTCAACATTATTATTAACTAAATGAGTTTTTTTTTAAAAAAAAAAATTTAATACATTCTATTTTAATGAATATGGAGATGATAATAAACAATTAGCATTAGATACTATTACAATACAATTGAAACTAGAGTAATTAAATTAAAAAAATAAGAGAATATGCTTTTGCAATTTGGATTATACTAAATTATAAAATATTAACTATTGAATGAGAAGACCCCTAATTATACAGATGAAGCGACCTAGGTAAAGTAGGCAAAAAACTCTTTTTTCTTGTTTGATTTGAGAGAAATAAAGAAGAGTAGAGAAAAATGGATGAAAGTTCTTCCATTTCCCTCCCTCCCTTTATTTGGTTGTATCAAAATACAAAAAATTAAAGCAAAATTAAGGAAAAAAGAACTCCCTCCTCTCTAATTTTTTGTTAATAACATAAAAAATATATAT